CCCCAATCCCGGCCGAGGCTGGTGGCCGCGCTCTGCTGCCCTGGCCGTGGGGATGGGGCAGCCCGGGCCCGCTCACCACCCCACACATCAGTGTCGCAGGGTCGCCCTTGCTCTGCACGAGGCACTGCCAGAGCCAGGGCCCTACTCCAGTCACCCAAACGGTCTCATTTGTCTCAAAGGTCAGGGAGGAACAGGCTGGACACAGGAAAACTTCCAAGGGGCTCCAGGGRGCCCTGCCACGGGCAGCGTGGGGGTGAGCGAGCCCCTGCATGCAGCACCGCACACAGCTAACGTTGCTGGTCACTTCCAGATTTCCAGGGCCAACCTTCAGCCGGGACTTCCTCCCTTGGCTCTTCCCATCCTGGCCGTTTTAAATAGCAGCGGCCGCAGGAGGCTTTTCCCGAAGCGCCGGGTGCTCCGTGGGACCGGGCTGCTCTTTCGGGGGCCACCTCGGCTGGGTAGCCAGCCTGGGCAGCCGGTAGCTCCTAACATGAACGTGGGCAGGGAAAAAAAAGATAATAACAATAATAATGATGATGATGATGGTGATGATGACGATGGGCTGCCGCGGGCCGCCCGTTTTGCCCCGGTCACGACGCCGGTAACCGCCAGGCGCCGGTGCCGCCCGCGGGGATTCAGGGGGAGGGGCGCCGCTGCCCCCCCCGCAGCCGCCCGCTTTTGTTGTCACCGAGCGGGCGGTGGCGGCCGCCCCGGGGCTCGGCCCGGCCCGGCCCGGCCCGCCCCGGGCCCGGCCCCGCACACACGTGGCACCCACCTCGCCTCCCTGTCCCGGCCGCCGCCGCCGCTTCCCTCTCCTCCCCGCCGGGCCCCGCCGCCGCCCCCGCACCCCAGGGCCGCGCGCTCGCGCGAGGGGCTCGCGGCGGCCGTTGGGGCCGTTAGGACCGTTAGGGCGGCGCCGGGGGAAGGCGGTTGCGAGGGGGGGCTCTACGGCGAGACCGCGGTGGTCGCCCTCGCAGGCAGTGCTGCTGCAGCCCGTTTTCCCAGATAAACNAAAAAAAAAAAAAAAAAGGCGAATTGAAAAAAAAAGAAAAAAAAAAGAAAGAAAAAAAAAGAGGATAGCAGAGCTATCGGCTTCGGGCTGAAGGCAGAAATTGCACTGATCCCTCCTCTAAGCCACCTGGATCCTGGCTTTGTGTAAAGGCACCCTTGTCACCAACATCACTGAAAAATGGGCATTTCAATTAAAAAAAAAAAAAATTCCCCGGTGCTGCTGGGTGCTGCGTGCCTCGAGGCAGGCCCCAGGGGAGGCCTCCCCAGCGGCTGCCGCACAGACCCGAGTTTTTAAATGAAGAAAGACATTAACATGCCAAGCTCCGACATCCTCAGGTTTGGCCCAGCCCTTTAAATTGACATTTGTTTAAAAAAGAGTGACAACTTCTTTTTTTTTTTTCAAAAACAACCCATAAAAGCAGAAATAATTTTCTAAGTATTGGAGAATTAGCACTGTCCAAAAATCAATATTTTAATATTTTTACTGATAGTGCAGCATCCCTCAAGTAGGATTCAGACAGTTTATTGCAGCTTCAGAAAACTTGAAGTTACAAGTGATATTCTTTTGAGGCCTAAGTGCATACAAGTAAAGGCTCATTTTGTTTTTATAGAAATTGTTCTATAAATCTCTTTAAATATATTTAAGTACTATAGGTTTGCATTTAAATAATATGCTACTTTTGTGCTTTTAAACATCTAAGGTGCCGAACAAGAATTGTAAACTGTGAAGTAACTACTATGGAAAAGATTAAGTAAAGCGTTGGAGGCGGATGATTTTGACAATAAAGAGGGTGTATGTGGTGAGTGTTTAATATTTATTGCATTTAATATTACAAAGTACTATTTATTGTTTTCAGATTTAATGCTAAAAGCAAAGCCTGGAGAGCAAACTCTGCTGTATTATGTACTTACAGGTACACCTGTGACAAAGGCTTTCTATAATCATTGCTTGATGTATGTAACACCATTTTAGTAATGGCATGCCATTTTATTTAAAGTTCGTGTGTCAGCTGTGCCTACCTTGCAAATATTTCTTTTTTTTTTTTTTTTTTTTTTTTCAATTAAATGTTTTTACAAGGAATCTTGCACATTTGAGCTCTCTGCTGTGGTTTACAAAGCATTTAAATTGTGTTCTTGGAATATATATTCTGTTATCTTTGAAATTATCTGAATGTATAGCTTTTGTTCATTATAAAAGCCTATGGATTGGGGGAATATTCTGAATGAATGAAGAACAAATACAGTACCGCTGAATAATCTTGTGGGGTAGATTAATCTATAGCCTCGATTTCTCTCAGGGTGGGTTGCTGTGGCAACCGCCCCAGCTCACTTTAAAATAATTTTGTAAAGCTCACTTCAAGCGTTGCACCCAGCGTGGGCCAAGTTTAAAAGCAGCCAGACATGGGAAGAAGTGTTATACTGTGTTGCTCTTGCGAGATAGGGAGGTGGTGGAAGAGAGCGAGGCGTAGAGTGGGGTTGAGCAGAACTTTAAACAGAAAATAGAAACTGAGCCACCCCAGGGGTAAGATGCAAAAGAGGTGGATCACTGCATAGTAGCCCCAGTGCKTCTCCGTTTAAATGTCATTAAATGATGTAAGCTGGCCATCTCGTTACTCCTAAGGAAAAGGTATGTTCAGCATCCGTCAYGGAATAAAACTGGGCTTTGATTATCATCTTCAAAGGAACACTTTACACACCCACCTTGAGGTAAATCGCACTTGTAAGGGAAAGGGCTGAACGCTCTTCACTCATCAATAAATCTTTGGGGAACTGTTTTTGTAACTGCTACATTGTCATTCTCACTGTTTAACATAGTGCGGTGCATTAGGTGGTGGATTAAGAAAGAAATAGTTTTGTTAGCAGATCTGCACAGGGCCTGGCAACAGAGAAAGGAGCAGAGCTGACTCTCTTGCAAAAAAGTCAGAAAGGGTCTGGCTGTGGAGCATTAATCTAAAACTTTGGATGCTGGAATGAAGGCGCTGGAAATTATTCCAGCTTTTAAAATTTAATGCAGCAAAAGAGAAAAATCCTAAACCCTTCCAAAGATAGTACACAATTTCAAGCCTTACCTAACAACGCTCAGTTGAGGAAGGGTGCATGATTCCAGGAAGGAAGCATGATTCCTCCCCTCGCATCTGTCTGTCCATCTAGTATCTGAACCCTGCTTTAAAAACTAAGGTGTCCTTTACATGGATTTGATGAATTATGCTCATGACAAAAACTTGGCATGGCTTAAAGATACTCTAGTATGTGAAGGTCACAACTATTTAAAGATTAGGCCACAAGAGCCTACATGGAGAAGTAGTAGATATGTTAAGCTGCTGTGTATGTTATTTTCTGAGATATTTGCCTACTCTAATAATTGCTTTTAAGCTAAAATTGTACTCAAGTTCCGTCTTGCCCATTGAACGGCTGTTATCAGCTGGGCAGAAACCTGAAAACTTATTTATCCTCTACGGGAAAAAAAAAAAAGGCATGACAGTTTGAAAGTGCAAAGGGTTAACACAGTTTTCTATTTTTGCTGCTCAGAAAATAATAATATTACTGGAAAGTGGGAGACCAAAATTGTCTGCAGCAGAGGCGTAGTGCTGGCAGGGCCCGCGTGGCTGTTCTGCGTCCCCGAGCTGCCGTGCCCCGCACCAAGCTGGGCCCAAGCGAGTGCTGCCGCTGCCCAGCGCAGGCCCCTCGCGCCACCCTTTGCAGCGTGCTCAGCTCCCGCCCACTGCCCATGGCCCTGGGCACCTCAGCGTGGCCAGGGTTGCGGGTGCCTTCTATAGAATGCAGCACTCTGACCACTAAGGCTTGTCCCTTCTCTGTACCTAATTTCATGGAGCAGCGCAGAGCATGGGGGGACCGGAGCCAGCGAAAGGGGCTCTCCAGAGCTCAGAGGCAGGAGCTGAGTTGTGCAGGTCCATTAGCTGCTTTCTGCCCTGGCCGTGCTTGGAGYGCCCGTGTTTCGCGGAGCACCATAGAACTTAGCAGCACTTGCTCATTGACAATCCTGGAGCTTCAGAAGTAGGTCAATGGCCCAACGGGATGCGTATGGGGGAAAAGAGTGCAGAGCCAAGGGCTTGTATTAAAATCAACCAGATATATATTTATCCCTGCTGTTTGAATTCAGGCTTTGGCTCTCATTACATGTGTTCTTCCCATTCCCAGTAGCTTAACCTATCACAAAACTGATGCTTTGTGCCTCAGCGAAGTCTGCCGCCGCTCCCGGGGGATTGTAAAAGTTGGTTATCTGCATACAAATTAAAACCGGTRTCCGCAAGGTCCAGTTTCACTCACAAATTGCCACACGTGCGTAATTTGGCGCGAGCCCCGAGGCAGCGCGCTCCTCTCGCTCCGGGTGTGCGAGCAAGCAGGCGGGCATGGAAGGCGCTCGGCGCGCGAGGGGCTGCGCCGCGGCTGCCGGGCGCGCGGCCCCGACT